ATAAATGTGCATTTTGGGCAAGGATCAGTAACGCTTTTTTTTTTTTTTTTTTTTACACGTGGGCCTTGAACGCACAGCTTTGGATGATCCGAGGAATTTACATGAAATGTAAAGCGGTTACACTCGTCTGCAAAGTAAAAGGCAGCGGAGATAAATTATCAGATAATCAAGCAAGAAGCATTTGGCTAAACTTATATTTTCTGCCAGCGTATGACTATGAACTAATAATTGCTCTATCATATGAGACGTGTTTGATGTGCGCGTGCTTCATCTGCAATAGTAGATACTTTAACTTACAATTAACTCAATTTCACTTTAATGTAACGTTAACATTTGCGGGGTGAACAATGGAGCTTCTGACAAGCGACTAGCTGGATTTTTTTTAATATTAACATCATCATTTGCATTTTTCTTGACCAACAGCTTTCATGTTCATAAAGGCGTGACGACATTTGTAAAACTGCACAGCGGTAGTAGGTTCCGAGACTTTCTCACTGAAGGTAAGCTTAGAACACTTTACAATAAGGTCTCATTTGTTAACATTAATTAATGTGCAAACTAACTTTAGTATTAATAAAACTAGAACGGTTTGTTCACTTTAGTTCACAGTGCATTCATGTGAACAGATACAACTTTTGATTTTTATAATGTCTTGGGGAATGTTGAGATTAACATTAACTAAGCTTATTAAATGCTGTAGAAGTATTGCGCATTCTTAGTCCATGTTAACTAATGAAACCTTATTGTGAAGCACCAGACATCAGCTTGTTAATATTGTCAGTCACATGACAGCAATTCATGGGTAAGTTTTTTTTTTTTTGATCTGCAGTGTTTATATGGGTCAGATGATGGTGAATATATTGTACCTTCTGTGTTGGTGTAATAGTTACATCTGTGTTAAAAAAAAAAAATTCAAACTGATACAGCGTGTTGACTTGTTTTTTTTTTAAATTTTTTTTTTACACCGAATGCACAGGTATTTAGTCGAATACTGATTACACTTAATTACCTTAATCAGGGTTAGTATGAACACTTAAGTGTGGAAATAAGTCTCTTGGTGTTAAGATATTGACATGCGTAGTGTAGTTTCAACATTAACTTGGTGTAAATGAGGGGGAGGGAAAACACTAATGGTGTTAACAGTGAACACTTACAGTGTTACACTATGCAAGTGTAAAAAAAAATATATATATATATTTAAAGCGTTAAACTATTTAGTGGACCTATATAACCCCCCCCCCCCCAAAAAAAACGTCACGGAGTGTCAATTTAACACTTTCAAATTTGCTGTGTACCAGTCTTGAGTTCTTGTCCTGCCGTGTTTTCATAGGCTCCAATACAGTTTAGTGTTTTCAGTTTGGCTTTTCCGCTTGCTCTCTGCCTCTTGTTTCACCAGTTTTCTGTTCCCCGGTTTCTTCCCTGGCATTACCAGAATCGCGCTTCGCGGCCTCTCCTCTCCTGCCCCTCTCGGTGCACTCTACAAAGAACTCTCTGCCCTGACGTTGCGTCAGCACTGATGCTGGGACTGTGCGCGCTGATCTCCCTACGCCCTACCCTCTCTGCCTCGTGGAGTGACTGGAGGCTCGTTTGGACTGTTCCCCTCTCTTCCTGTCTCTAATCACTGCCCTGAATTACGGCTTCTGGTCTGCAGTCCCAGTCGAGGTTTCAAATCAATTTGAGTTGAACCTGCAAATGAAATCAGTGTTTTTCCATGTGTGTATACAGGTGCATCACAATAAATTAGAATGTCATGGAAAAGTTCATTTATTTCAGTAATTCAACACAAATTGTGAAACTCGTGTATTAAATAAATTCAGTGCACACAGACTGAAGTAGTTTAAGTCTTTGGTTCTTTTAACTGTGGTGATTTTGGCTCACATTTAATCTCCAGTCATCTCCACATAATTCATGCAAAAAAAAAAAGCCCCTACCAAGTATTGAGTACATGTACAGTAAATGAACATAGTTTCCAGAAGGCCAACAATTCACTAAGAATTTTTTTTTTTATTGGTCTTATGAAGTATTCTAATTTGTTGAGATAATGAATTGGAGGGTTTTTATTAAATGTGAGTCAAATTCATAAATTAAAAGAACCAAAGACTTAAACTACTTCAGTCTGTGCATTGAATTTATTTAATACATGAGTTTCACAATTTGAGTTGAATTACTGAAATGAACTTTTCCACGACATTCTAATTTATTGAGATGCACCTGTACATATTAAATTTTTTTTTTTTTCCCTGAAAGAGATGACAACATTACCATTACATCTAAGCCGAAATCTAATGCAGTGGCTAGAGAAAATGAGAAGGACAACAGTTTTTAAAAGTGTATATTTTGTTGGGTGGTGCTTTAGACATGTTTTTGGCTGTTCTGTGTATATGAATTGAACAAACAATGATGATCTGAGCTCAGAGGAAAAAGATTTGTAACTTTAATAATTTCACTTCGTTATTTTAACAATGTTGCCTCAAGTCTAGAAAGTCAAATTCTACAGTCATTTTTCTTCTCACAGAGACACTTTATAGCCTATTGTGCATTATTCTGTTAGTACACAATTAAATCAGTCGGGATGAAGCATGACAGTGTCTCAATTGTGACTTCGTTATTTTCAGACCTTAAAAGTATGGCCCACGCAAAACGTGTAAATCCAAGAAGAAAAAAATTGGGCTATTCGGGGGTCTGGGGTCTTGTGGCTGATTACTGTATGGTGATTGAAATCGTAAAATGACCTTAATTACTAAAACTGAATATATATATATAGTTAAATTATACAATAAGGGTCTCTGGTCAGTTTTGACCACAAACAAGAGTGTGACTCCCAACTGAATACCCGAGAGAGTTAAGCTGCAGTCTCAAACTATGCGCACTCAAAGTTTTCTGTGGACACACACTGTAAAACATCTTCTGTTGGTCACATCTTCACGTGATATGAACTCATAGCAGATTTCATTAAACTCACGAAATTCGCCAGAGCTTGTGTTTCCTATCTCCCACACTGGAGACAGGAAATGTTAGTCAGTGGAGTGAAAAGTGTAGCCTGAATGCCCCCTTTATAGTTCAAGTTTTTTAATTTTCCTCACACAAACCTATAGTTTTGCTTCAGAAGACACTGACATTAATTCATTCACTGGGGTCAAACGGATTCCCGTCATGTTTACATTCAGTAATTTAAGCATCCTGTGTTCATTTGTGTTCAGAGGATGTGTTCAAATGATCAGAGGATTTACAGAATTTTGGGTGAAGCATCACTTTCGTGATCTACCTGCTGCAGATTTGAGGGTCTCTCTTCAGCTTCTGTCTTAAGTGAATGAGCCATTGTTTCCTGCAAAATGTCAACAACGTTGAAATCAATACAGGTTTACCACTGTCTAGAGATTTCTATCATAATTTAAATTATGAAAATGATAGGTAAAAGCAATGCCATGTTATCACACCAAATGTGATGTAGCAAAGTGAAAAAACAGACTAATGGTCTGTTCACACTGAGGGAAACAAAGAAAATACAGTATACAGAACAGTCAAAAACATCTGCTGTGAATCAGTGATATCAGGTTTTTTTAATTCCAGCTGTGGCTTTTTCTTTATATCCACAAGAGTGCGCCTGTTCAAATGAGTTAAAATGCTGTAAAAGAACAATGATTCCATCTTCTATAGGAATATCACAATTGTTTTAGTGATTAAAAAGCTAAGGAATTAACATATAGCATATTGTATGTTATATTTGTAATTTTTTAGTAAATGGTGATTTTTATATTGGAATATTGATAACCCTCAGGCACTGTATATTGGGACAACCTCAAGCTTTTTGTTTCGTAGGCCTTAAAGGGGTCATATGATGCGATTTCAAGTTTTCCTTTCTCTTTGGAGAGTTACAAGCTGATTGTGCATAGATAAGATCCCTGAAGTTGCAAAGACTAAAGTCTCAAAACCAAAGAGATATTCTTTATAAAAGTTAAGAGTCAACCACGCCCCCCTAAAACGACTCGTTCTAACACATCCCCACATATCTACGTCACGATGTGGGAAGATTTGCATAACGCCGCCCAAATGTTCACGTAAAGAAAGGCGGCGTAACTTTTATTCTCGCTGTAGTATTGTTGCTGCGTCCATGTCGTGAAGGTGCTGTGTGCTTTGTTGTGAAAGCAAACTACTTTGTTTGGCCTTTCAAAAGAGGACGATATCTGCTTCGTCATGCCTGGAGCTGATCCGTGCTGGTCGCTGAGGAAATACTACAACTTCGCGCTGTGGATCGCCGGATTGGCTTTCACCGTGGACGAAGCAGAGTCCAGCCCGGGGTCGTCACATGTGGTTGCCGCAGGCATCACAATATGGTAAGGGACGTAACATTTCCGTCTCACGCTTGAGGTATTCGGCCAATCACAACGCACTGGATAGCTGGCCAATCACAGCACACCTCGCTTTTCAGACCGATGAGCTTTGTAAAAATCGACACGTTTCAGAAAGGCGGAGCATAGAGGAGAAACAATAATGTAGAGTATGTGGAAAATAATGTGGTTTTTTTTACCTTAAACCGCATAAACACATTTCATTACACCAAATACACAAAATAATGTTCTTTTTAGCAGCATCATATGACCCCTTTAAAATGAAATGGTTGACAGAGTTCATGAAGAATAGAGAAAGTCCTTGGAATGCATTTCCTAATTATATATTTAATACTCTTGGAGGCATAGACTTGGTTGAAATGTAATTTTTCTGTTGACAAAATTCCTGTTAAATTGGCCGGTTTTTACATACAAGCCCTGTTAGCATGGAAATTGATGTATAAGCACAATTTTTCACCCCACAACTATTTCATATGGAATAACAAGGACATATTTAAAAACAAATCTTTATTCTATCATACTTGGTTCAAGGAAGGTATTCTTTTAGTAAGGCAGTTAGTTAATTCCCATGGGTACTTGTTGTCGTATACTGAATTTCTTCAGAAATTCCCATTACCAGTTAAACCAAGAGAAAACCAAGCTATTGTTTTTGACACAATTCCAAAGAGTGTGATGTTACTTTAAAAAAAAAAAAACGATCTCAGAAGAAATCAGCATGGTTAATCCTTGTGGTAACATTTTCATTGAAAATGTAGACGTTTAAAAACAACAGTGTAGCAATAAGATCATAAGGAATGCTCTTTGTTCTGTGTCCCTACCTGCAGCAAGATTTTTTTGGTCTTCTTTATTTGGTAATATCTCTTGGGTTAAAGCATGGAAACTGCCAAATAAATTTCGGATCAATAACAAAATTAAGGTAGCGTCTTACAAAATACTTCATCGAATTTATCCTGCTAAGCATGTTTTGGAAAGATTTAAGCTTAATATTTCATATACCTGTGAAACTTGTGGTCAAGAAAAAGAAACTATTTTGCATCTTTTTCCCCCCATTGTATTTACTCGAGATTATTTTGGAAGGATTTGGAATTCTATATTAACAGAAAAATAGAGTGTATGATAGAAATGTGTATATTTGATGTACTTTTTTTATACAGAAAACAATTTGAATTGTAAAGAACAACATATTATACATTTGTCTATTTTGTTAGGAAAATTCAATTTTCTTATGTATATAAGAAGAAGTGGGCTCAACGTAAACCAAATTTTGCACATTTTATAAATGACTTTAAATCATATGTAAATCTCTTAGAACAAACAAAAAACCAAAAAGCATTGAAAACATGTAATGCTCTGAAAGCATTGAACTTTATGTAAATTTTCTTCCCTTTTTTTCCCTCTGGCAGCTAATAATGTTAATTTGATAATGTCAATATGTAATACCTCATGTTCTTGTGGCATTGAATTAATAAAGCATTAAAAAAAATTGCCGCTGCTCTATGTGAATGTGAGTGTAATGTACGCTAAACGGATGGATAAAAGGGTGTCTGTTTTTTTTTACCATGTTTTTTTCTCTCTTCTTTGGTTTCCTCTCTTATGCTCTCAGTCGGTCCACGCCCTGTGAAAGGAATCGAAAGTTACTGAAAGTGTTGTGACACTCACTGAATACCTGCCAAAAGTACAAAAAATGAACGCAGATATAAACTTATTAAAACCCATAATGACGTTCCAATTTCTGTGCCTCTATATTTACACAATATTGCTGAATTTTCAATAAGGGGAACTTAGAAAGAAACTACACTAAAAATATATATATATATATATACACACACACACACTGGTAATTCACTGCCAGGACATCGTTAACCCTAAAACACAATGCAATGAAGTGCAAAATTTTAAATACAGGTAAAACACCTGTAAAATAAATAAATACAGAAATATCCTTCATATCAACACAATACACTGTGCCCTATTTTTCCAGATTTTTTTTACAGTGTAGGCCAAATTTAGTAGCCCATCCAAAGGTAATGTTCTAAATAATGAAAACACTCTCACTGTAACATGAGTTTATGTGAACCCATGTGCAGTTTATTTAAAATAAGACATGAACAAATACAAAATAAATAAAGACTTAAACATGAAACAGACTCACCTACAGCGGTTACAGAGAACAAAGCTAAACGAAGACAACGGGAACGCGAGAGCTATTTATATACAGAGACTAAAGACTACCTGTGCAACAGTCAACAGTCGTTCTGGCCGCGCTGCTAACAACGCTGTAGAAAGATTCGTTGACGCTCTGACGCTCTGACTCAGATCTTCTTCTTCTTCTTCTTCTTCCGTTTTTTGGCGTGTTACATCCTGTGTGCATATCGCCACCTACTTTTGCTGTTATGCAGTCATGGTTGATTTATTATCAATCTATTCCTTGTTTTTGCTTTTACTGTTCTTACACACGTATATACACAAATATTCCAACTTAAATAATTCTTCGATGCAACATCCCATTCCTTCTCCCCTGGCTCCACCTGGCGCTGTGTTCAGCTCCTCCAGACTAAATCCGTGGTCCCCTAAAGATCCAGAATAGAATAGAGCATCCGCATTCTATATTTAAATCCTTTCACTTAACCCAGTAGTACATATGTATTTTATTAATATCCTGTATCCTTCTCTATCTCTGTTAAACTCCTAATAAGTATTCCAAATCCTTATTTACCTTACCTTTTTTGTTTAAATATGATATTAATTCATTTCTTTCTTCATCATACCTTGTACAATTATATATTACATGCTCCACGGTTTCTTCTGACATAGATCGAATGCTTATCTTGTATTTAAAGGGGTCGCAAGCTTGTTGATCTTGTGCAGATTGACCACAAGCAGGGTAACGTTATAAGTTAACATCATTAAATATTGTTGTGGACGAAGTATTAAGATCATTTACCTCATAATGTATAAAGCACTAATACCACACTGTAAAATACTCTGATACAAGTAAAAGTCCTGCATTGAAAATGTTACTTAAGTATAATCAGGTATAAACATTACTTAATGCAAGTATAATCCGGAAAATTGATTTAAAGGTTTAAAAGTGAACAGGGACTATTATTTATTATGTCATTAGATTATTATTCCTATAACGTTAATGCACATCAGCAACTCACCAGGAACACCAACAATCTCAGACACCTTGGTCCACGCATCATTTTATTTTTTTTTACGTCATAGATTATTGGGAAACCCGCCACAGCAATAATCAACCTCGGGGTGATTTTAATATGGTTTTGGATGGGTTACTTGATTGTTTTCCTACAAGAACATCTTATACACAGAATGAAAATCTTAAACGTTTTATGGAGAAATTTAACTTGGTTGATATATGGAGGTTGAAGTTTCCTGATTGGAGAAGCTCATAGCCCAAGTTGCTTGAAGTCCAGTGTTAAGTTTCCACAGTCTGTGATGATTTGGGGTGCAATGTCATCTGCTGGTGTTGGTCCATTGTGTTTTTTGAAAACCAACGTCACTGCACCCGTTTACCAAGAAATTTTGGAGCACTTCATGCTTCCTTCTGCTGACCAGCTTTTTGAAGATGCTGATTTCATTTTCCAGCAGGATTTGGCACCTGCCCACACTGCCAAAAGCACCAAAAGTTGGTTAAATGACCATGGTGTTGGTGTGCTTGACTGGCCAGCAAACTCACCAGACCTGAACCCCATAGAGAATCAATTGGGTATTGTCAAGAGGAAAATGAGAAACAAGAGACCAAAAAATAAATGAACTTTTCCACGACATTCTAATTTATTGAGATGCACCTGTATTCATCCAAATTCTCTGAGCAATCTGCTTCTGAATTTTTTAACTCTATCTCTGGATTCGGTTGTGAGACCGTCAACCCTGTGCAAAAAGAGCTTTGTGATAGCTTAATTACTATTGAAGAGGTCTTATATGCTATTACACATATTAAGGTTAATAAATCTCCTGGGGTTGATGGCCTCACAGCCGAATTTTACAAAACTTTTTCTGATTTTATCACTCCCTTTCTTAAAGAAGTTTATATAGAAAGTATAGAAAATCAAGTTCTTCCACCTACATTAACTCAAGGATTGATAACATTGATTCCAAAATCAAGAAAAGATCCATTGCTTTTAGACAATTGGAGATCTATTTCACTATTAAACAATGATTATAAGATTTTTGCCCTGATCTTTGCAAATAGAATAAAGTCAACTATGGACCCCCTTATAGATGAGGCCCAATCTGGCTTCTTAAAGAAAAGGCATATTTCAAATAATATAAGGCTAATTTTAGACTTATTGGATTACTGTCATTTATGTACTGATGATGGATTTATTCTTTTCTTAGACTTTTATAAAGCCTTCGACACAGTGGAGCATGCTTTTATTTTTAGGTCATTAAAAACATTTGGGTTTGGAGATGTTTTCTGTAAAGCTATACAAACAATGTATACGAATGCAAACAGTTCTATTAAACTTAAAGGAGGTTCATCTTCTAGGTTTTATTTAAAATGTGGTGTCAGACAAGGCTGTCCCATTTCCCCTTACCTTTTCTTGTTTTGCTTATGAATATTTATGTTAGATCAAGCCACTTAAAAGGTATATCTGTAGCGGGTAGGGATATTATCATATCCCAACTAGCAGATGATACTGCACTGTTCTTGAAAGATCATCATCATGTCCCAATTGCTCTTGAAGAAATAGAGGCCTTTTCTAAAGCCTCTGGCCTTTGTTTAAACATCAATAAATGTGAATTGTTATCTATTAAAGACTGTGAGTTACAACAAATTGCTAATATCCCAGTGAAGGATTCTGTAACATACTTGGGGATTGTTATCACGAAAGATCAGAAATCTAGGTGTAAGATGAATTTTGAATCTATTCTTCAGAAGACTAGGGCAAAGTTGAATCATTGGCTTTTAAGGGATTTATCCCTAAAAGGTAGAGTTTTGTTATGTAAAGCAGAGGGACTGTCAAGATCAGTCTATGCAGCCACTTCACTCAGTGTCTCTAAGGAGATGTGTAAAGCTGTTGATACTGCTTTGTTTAATTTTCTGTGGAGGAACAAAACACATTACATTAGGAAATCTACAATATGGAATACATGAGTCAGGAGGATTGAACTTTCTTGATTTCTGTACTCTAAACAACACCTTTGAAATGAATTGGATTAGACATTTCACTCTAAATCCAAATTCTTTATGGAGTTTTATACCTCATTTTGTTTTTTTTTCCAAAATTGTTGGTCTTAGATTTCTTTTGATTTGCAATTACAAAATTGATAAAATTCCCTTAAGCTTATCCTGCTTTCATAAACAAATGCTGCTGGCTTGGTCTCTTTTGTATAAACATAACTTTTCTCCCCATAGGTACCTAATTTGGAGCAATTACAATATATTATACAAAAATAAATCATTATTTTTTGTAAATTGGTTTTCAGCAGGCATAATACGAGTTAGTCAATTATTAAATCAACAAGGCATGCTACTCACTTATTCTGAGTTACTTACTTACTCTACATCTGTTTTAATGCACAGGGTAGTTTGATTAGCTGTGCTGATAATATGCTATTTTGTTCTATAAATGTCATACCTTTCAAAAGTTCGTCACAGTGGTCTCTTCTGCTGCATCTCTACGGCGCTGATAGTATAAGCGCTAACTTCTGGGAACTATTGAGCGGCTCCAAAAAACTGGTCCATTGGAGAGAATGGAGTTGTCACAACTCTCTCGCTAGTCGCTAGGGGGTGTCAAGATGGCGCCCACGCTAACAACAACTTTATCTCGCTCTTATTCTATTTTATATGCGGTGCTTAAAGCTTTGAATTTCTATGACCAATTTTTTTCTATAACTTGTTGCGGAAGTTCAGCATACTCTTTTAAGACTGTCTTTAACGATTTCGGGACCCTTTTTTTGTTTTCTATTACTTTCTACGCCTGAGTAAAGCTCGGTTGCTACAAACATGGACGAAGATATGCATACAGCCTCTCTTGAGGCTTCTGCAAACAGCGATAATCTAAAGGTGCATAATTATGCAAGACGCCTAGAAAATGCATTTGGGAGCTCTCCGGACACACCTATAAGTCCCCTGCTCAGAAGAAATCTCGAACAAACACCCCCGACACAGTCTTAAAAGAGTATGCTGAACTTCCGCAACAAGTTATAGAAAAAAATTGGTCATAGAAATTCAAAGCTTTAAGCACTGCATAACCTGTTTAATTTATTGTTTTTGTTTTTTTACTTTATATTCTTATATATTCTTCTTCTTCTTCTTATTATTATTATTAAGCTTTTTTTTATTATTACTTATTTGTTTTTTCTGGGTCCACGACAGGGTGTGTTGACCTTCCCAAGCTTCATTGGGAATTCGAGCTTTATGCTCTGCATATCTTCTAAGTTTGTTGTATCTGTTTCTAACAGTTCTAGTTACTCAGAGTTGAGTTCCAATACTATGTTTAGTTCGTATTTCTCTTGTTTTTCTTTGAATGTTCGGGGGCTACGTGACTTAAATAAACGAAAAGGATTTCAGGGAAAGATTGTAGAAACGCTTTCTTCAGGGATAGGAAGATGGATTATCTCAGCTGTTCTCTTGAATAACAATTTCTTTATAATGGCTAACATATATGGGTTCAACAGTTCTTCAAGCAATACAACTCTTCTTGATGATATAATCCTTAATGTAAGTAATTTGAAACTAAAATATCCCTCTGCCTTTATATTAATTGGTGGGGATTTCAATGAAGCACCAGATTTTGTTGCTGATAGATTTCCGTCTAGATCTGTGTCTAACAGCGTTAACCCCTTAATAGGAAAGTTATGTAGATGTTTGAACCTGATCGATGCACATAGATATTTAAACCCCGATAGCCCCATGTACACTTGGTTTAAATCTGATCTTTCTCAAAAATCTCGTATAGACCTGTGGCTAATATCAGACTCTTTAATTTCATATTTGACATCAGCAGAAATTTCGCCCTCACCTCTAACAGATCATGCAGCAATTGATATGACTTTTTCTGATGATGAATCTAAGCGAAGAAGAAAAGTTAGCCCTGGTTACTGGAAGTTAAATTGTTCTTTTTTACTATCTGACTCGTATTACAGAGGTGTAAAGTATTGGAGTAAATGTAATTAGTTACTGTACTTGAGTATCTTTTTCGATACTTTGTAGTTGTACGGAGTATCAAAGATATTAGCAACTTTTACTCTTTACTTCACTACATTTTTAAATGAGTATCTGTACTCTTTACTCCACTACATTTGAAATGAGTGTTGCAGTTACACATTACATTTAGCATGGACCTAGCTTTTTCTGCAGCAGTTTATTTCTGCTACAAAAGATGTGATACTGCCTATTACAGGTCACTGAAAGTACTGCATCTTCTGCGTTTTGCCCTTACTCACCCAAACTTGTCAACAAGGCTACTTTATGTGAATGCGAATGATTGCTCTCCTCACATATCAACTCTTTCTTGTTTTTGTTTCATTCTCTCTGTGCCTTGCCTCGGACTTTTGTCACTTCCTGTCTCCCGTGGTGTTTGTAGTCAGTTTGTAGTCCGTTTGTTCATTGGTTTCCCTTGATTAGTCTCCCCAGATGTGTCTTATCTTGTTAGGCTTGTTAGCCCCCAGTGTGTATATATAGCCCTAGTTTTTCTTTAGTTCCTTGTGAGTTGTTGAATGTAATGGTTGTCTGTTTGCCAGTCATGCTGTTCTTTGTTCCCTTTTGTTTTTGCCTTATTGCTTGTTCTAGTTTTTCCATGAAATACCTGCACATAGATCCTTGCCTCTGCCTGTTTTCTGCAGCTTCTCTACAACGTTACAGTTTTTCACTGGCATGTCTCTTTGACTAGTGCATCTTTGAGCCTATATTTAGTATAAGTAAAATACTTAAGTACTGTTAAAATCAGATACTCTAAGACTTTTACTTAAGTTGTTTTGGAATTGGTGACTTGTAACGTGTAGTGGAGTAATTTTCACTGTAAGGTATCTGTACTTTTACTCAAGTATGGTTTTTAGGTACTCTTTACACCTCTGTCGTATTGTCAGAAGATTAGGGAAATTGCAGAGAATGTGAAGTCTCAGACTAATATCTCGGCCACTTCTAAATGGGAGCTATTTAAATACGAATGTAGAAAATTCTCTGTAAAATTTGGAAAAAATAGAATGTCTGTTAAAAATAAGGAAGTTACAGATTTAATTAGAAAGATGAGTGAAATTTTAAAGAATCCTAACCTGGGAGAAGATGACAAGGAATCTCTTTATACTTTACAAAGCAGTCTGGATGATTTATTTTTAGAGAAAGCAAGGGGCGCATTCATTAGATCGAGAGCAAAATGGCTCGAGTTTGGGGAAAAAAACTGCTTTTTCAACCTAGAGAAAAAAACGTGGAAGTAATGAGGATCTCCTCTCTATATATTAATAATACATTATCTAATGACCCCTCCGTGATCTCTTCTTATGTTTTTAACTTTTATCAAAATCTATACACCTCTTCTTTTGATCTTAATGCTTCATCTTTATTTTTTCATAAAGTTCATTCTGTGATTCCTAAAGTTAAAAGAACTTTGTGAGGAACCCTTTACTATAGATGATCTTTATAACATAGTACAAAGAAAGCCACACAATAAATCTCCAGGGCCGGATGGATTACCGCTTGAATTTTTTAAAGTCTTTTGGGACTCTATTAAGTATCTTCTTTACGAAGCCCTTATTGAGTGTTTAAACAATGGTGAATTGGCGGAATCAATGAAACAAGGTCTCATTTGTCTTATTCTTAAGCCTAATAAGGATCCCAATATTTTGGATAATTGGTCACCCTTTTGAACTGATTATAAATTATTGGCTTCTGTATATGCTGAAAAGCTCAAATCTTGCTTAGCAAACAAATTTCTAACACTCAATCTGGTTTTCTAAAAGGTAGACATATCTCTAACAATATTAGATTAATTATAGATATTTTAGATTATTCAGAAATCATAAATAGAGAGGCTTTAATTTTGTTTATCTCCTTTTCTTTTTCTATTAGCCGCCGAGCTATTAAGTTCGCATATAAAGCACTCCAATATTGAAGGTATAAATATTGGAGGGAATACATTGATAATTAGCCAGTTAGCTGACGATACTTGTCTTTTTCTTAAAAATGATTCACAAGTTTCTGTTGCCTTCAATTAATTTATTATTTTCTCCAAAGCTTCAGGATTAGTAGTAAATCCCCCAAAAAGTGAAATTTTATATGTACATGATTCCAATAAAAATTCTGTTGATGGTATTATAGTTAAACGTCATGTAAAATATCTAGGGGTTGATATCTGCAGCTCTGATTCAGACTGTCTCCATCACAATTTTCAGCCAAGGTTAGATAACATTAAAAAGATTTTGTGTTGCTGGCTGCAGAGAGACATGACAATTTATGGGAGAGTCCTGCTGACTGAGGCTGAGGGCATTTCACGTCTAGTTTATCCTGCTTTTTCCCTTTATGTTGATCAAAAAACTATTAAAATGATTAACTCTCTGCTATTCCGCTTTATTTGGAAAAATAAGACAGAATGTGTTCAAAGGAAATCTATGATAAGAAATTATAAGGAGGGTGGTCTTAATGCTTTAGATTTTAATATTAACCAGATTAACTGGATCAAGAATTGTTTATCTAATAATGAGTTACCCTGGTTTTGGATCCCTAACCTATTCTTCAAACGTTGTGGTGGCCTTAAACTTTTATTGTCCTGTAACTTTAAGTGTAGTAAGTTACCTATTAAACTGTCAAATTTTCATAAACAAGCCCTAGAATCCTGGAAGATTGCTTTTAAACAATTTCTCCCCGCACACGTGTATTCTTTGGAACAATGAAAATATATTGTCTGGTAACAAATCACTTTGTTTCATTGAATGGGTGAATCAAAATATCTTTTTTGTTTCTGATTTGTT